TTAAAAGAATGCAGAAGACCTGAGAAGATTTTTCAAAGCTGTGAAAAGAATAAGTATGATGGTACTTTGGGATGCCAATGTGACTTCTTTATTAAAAAAGGAATAACTGGCCTCTGTCATCTGTTTTATTTCTAAGAATGATTTCAGTCCCTGGACAGATATTTTCCTTAGAGACCCCATGATGTACCACCAGCCTGGAGCCAACTGACTTTTGCCAGGCTCAGTAATGCAAGGAATGATTAAAAAAGCTCGAGCCACTCCGACTTCAATCGGGAGTTTAAATACAACAATAAGGAATCTTGGAAATTTTAATAGGAACCTCAGCTCTCTTCTATTAGTGAATTTACTGAGATGGGATTTCTTTCAACACCTCAAATGTCCTCTTCTTGACCTTTCTGCAGCTCAGGCTGAGCTTCAATTTATGAGATAAGCTAGTAATAAATTCCTTTCCTCTGTTGGTTATAGCCAGCCTTCCTTCCTTCCTTCCTTCCTTCCTTCCTTCCTTCCTTCCTTCCTCCTTCCTTCCTCCCTCCCTCCCCATCTCTTTTTATCTTTTCCTTCTTCTTTCCATCTCTTTATCTTTCCTTCCTTCCTTCCTTCCTTCCTTCCCTTCCTTCCTTCCTTCCTTCCTTCCTTCCTTCCTTCCTTCCTTCCTCCCTCCCTCCCTCCCTCCCTCCCTCCCTCCCTCTTAAAATCACTCATGGCTTCTGGTGACTGCCTGGATTAGTCCCTGCAATTTTCTCAGCAAATGGTCTCCCAGTTTTTAGTCCGGTGCCTTTAACCACTGTTTCAAATTGACTCTTGGATTTCTTGTTTTCTCTCATAATCTCTCAAACCTACCACTGCTTTATGGGATCATTTGATTCTCTGATTAATGCTGATCTGTGATATTATTGTGTCAAGGTATCATAGTATAACACCTGATCTACGTAACAGCTGAGTTGAAAACTGAAATAGGGACAGATGCTTCTACATCACCCTTATCTTTATTTTAGCTATAAGTTCACTCTATCACACAACCCACTGTTGGTCTAAACAAGAGGACATCTTTAATGAATTCTAAAATTTCAAGTTGTGCAATTTGTCACAATCTGCATTTCCTCTGCATCTTTATTCCCCTTTAAGCTGCAATCATATTGATGTATAGACCCAGCTCTAGAGATTCATAGCAACACTACATAAAATAGATTTTACCAAGTCTGATTTTATTCTGTTTTATCGATGCTCCCTTGAAAGTTGAAATGGAGAGACGGCAAAAAATGTAAATACATTTCAGGAATGAAAAGCCCAAGACTAACTGCATGATGCCATGTGAAGATTTAAATCCAAAACACTGGGGAAGTGACCGAATTCAAAAGCACCCACTTTAGCATTTTGGAATGCTATAAATCAAATACCTAGCCAAAAGGAATTTTTTTACTGATAAACCAGTAAAAATGCCACATCTATTAAAATCACACAAGCTGTTATTATAATAGCTTGCAACAAATAGCCTTCGACTTACGACCACAATTGAGCCAAACATTTATGTTGCTAAGTGAGACATTTTTTAATGAGCTTGGCCCCATTTTCTGACCTTGCTTGCCACTGTTAAGTGAATCATGGCAGCTCTTAATAGTTAGTAACATGGTTATTAAGCAAATCTGGCTTCCTCATTGACTTTGCTTGTCAGAAGGTTGCAAAAGAGGATCACTGAATCTTGCGACACTGCGGGCATCATAAATAGGAGTCAGTTGCCAAGCATCTGAATTTTGATCATGTGACCATGCAATGGTTGTAAGTGTGAAAAGCGGTCATAAGTCACTTCTTTCAGTGCTGTTGTCACTTCGAATGGTCACTGAATGAACTGTTGTAAGTCAAGGACTACCTGTATCCAGCTTTTCTCTTTGTGTCACACAGACAGCATGTACACCAGGGTGAATGAGTCATTTGAATACACAGATATGGTATCAGATATTAGTTAGATATGGGGACTAGAGGCAGAGTGAAACCCAAGGCAATTAACATCAGAGTTAATTGAATAATCAGAAAGGACCAACTTTGGCTTTGTAAACAGACTGCCCAGCTCAGGCCAAGACACTTAGCTTCTGATATACGACACAGGTTCTTATTCACCACATTACAAAAAAGATTTTGAGACTTTGAAAAAAGTGCGGATGATTGAAGGCCTGGAGACTAAAACATCCGAAGAATGGCTGCAGGAATTGGGTTTGGCTAGTCTAGAGAAAAAGAAGGATTAGGGCTGACATGATAGCAGTGTTTCAGTATTTGAGGGGCCGCCACAGAGACGAGGGGGGTCAACCTATTCTCCAAAGCACCTGAAAGCAGAACAAAAAGTAATGGATGGAAACTAATCAAGGAAAGAAGCAACCTAGAACCAAGCAGAAATTTCCTGACAGAAAGAACAATTCATCAGTGGAACAGTTGGCCTTCAGAAGTTGTGGGTGCTACATCAATGGAGGTTTTTTAAGAAGAGACTGGAAAGCCATTTGTCTGAAATGGTACAGGGTCTCCTGCCTGAGCAGGGGGTTGGACTAGAAGATCTCAAGGTCCCTTCCAGCTTTATTCTGATTAATTAGCTTGAGCCTCAAAGATGGAATCACCAAAGAACAGGGTTTCAAGGCTGATCCACAAAAGGCATTATTTCTTTCGGCCTCATTTGGATTACCTGATGAGGTGAGGGATAGACTTAATGTATCCTCATATGACCTGCTGCCAATGAAATCACAGTTCCTTCCTCCACTGCTAAAGAACAAATCCAGAAATGAATCACCTAAATTTGATTTCATCTATACAAATTTGAAAGCCCTTCAAGAAAAAACAACTCAAGTGCAATGGAAAATTACTCATGGGGGAGATTGATTTCAGGACTAGCTCATCTAAACACCCCTTCTTCCTTTTAAGGAATCTTTTAAGTTACATATTTATAATAATTTACCTGGAAATAAATCTAACACTAGACAGAGTGACATAAATTGAGGCACTTTCAATGTCAAAATTGGAAAGATATTCTTGACCACCGAGGATATTGCAACTTTTTACTGTAAATTTCTGAATGCTCTCGTTATACCCAGGGATGAGATTCAGCCGGTTCAGGCAAACCGGTAATTGTGACCTGCGGGTGCTATGCTGTCCTATTTAGCTGCGTTTTTTAAGCCGTGTGCATGCATGCAAGTGCATGTGCAAGCAAAACGAATGCGTAAAGGCCATGCGCGTGCATGGAAGGTGTGTGCATGAGCAAAATGAGCATGTGCTACATTTTCGGTGCTGGGGCGAACCGGTTGTTAAATTATGTGAAGCCCACCTCTGATTATACCTTTACAGGACATATATTTCAGGACATGTTCTGTCACAATCATGCAATGACAGAGCAATGGAGAGAGAAGATTCGCTGTTATTTTTTATTTATTTATTTTTAATTTGATTTATATGCCGCCCTTCTCCGGAGACTCAGGGCGGCTTACAATGCGTTAAGCAATAGCCTTCATCCTTTTGTATATTTATACAAAGTCAGCTTATTGCCCCCACAAACTGGGTCCTCATTTCACCTACCTTAGAAAGGATGGAAGGCTGAGTCAACCTTGAGCCTTGGCGAGATTCGAACCCTGCAGTAATTGCAGGCAGCTGGTCTTAATAACCAGCTTAATAACAGGGTGCCTTAAACCCCTGTACTACCAAGGCTCTTTATTTACCTGCTAAAATTTTAAGACAAGCAAGAGTCTAACCAAACGTTTCCTAATTGTTGAACATTTTAGCTTGTATTTGACACTCATGCATTCCATCTCTTCCTTTCTTTCTTTTTTTGCTGGAGAAAGTGGCTTATGAGAGTAAATAAGCAGCCAGTGTGTGGTGGCCTACTTTCCTTTATAAATTACAATGAATGTGTGCTTCAAACGTATCTCAAAGAAAGACTGGACCCGTTTGTCGATCGCTGCCTTGCTGTGGCGAAGGGGCATGCACAGCTCAAAGAAGCTATGAGCTAAGCTATGCAGAGCCACGCAAGATGGACAGGTCATAGTGGAGAGTTCTGACAAAATGTTTCCTTCCTAGAGAAGGAAATGGCAACCCACTCCAGCATTCTTGCCAAGAAAACCCCATGGCCAGTACCAAAAGGCTAAAAGACATGATGCTCGAAGATGAGCCCATCAAGTCAGAAGGTGTCCAGTAACTCTAGGAGACAGTGGAAGTCCGGGGGGAGCATGGCATGCAATGGTCCATGGGGTTGTGAAGAGTCAGAAATGACTTAGCAACTGAACAACAAGAAGGAAGGCTGGTCTTCGATCTAAGATGGATGAGCATCTTTTTGGAGAAGGAAACCACTTTATTAAAAAAATCCCAAGATCACAGAAGGTGGTATAAGGCCACCACAACATCACCCCACTAATTCAGATCATGTTTGGAGAAGGGGAATTAGCCTGCGAGGGATTAACTACTTTGGCAAGGACCATTTGTAATAGTATGTGAGAATGACAGTAGGAGACAAGGCCATGGCTCAGAGCTGCATAACAGGCAAAGAAAGCAACTCAGAAAAAAACCTCAGTAACTTCTCAGACTGTAAAAGAGACGGGGGAAGATTTATACTTTCAGACTTGCAAGATTCTCTTAATGTAGCCTTACAATAAATTAGAATCAGCTCAGCTGGTCATGTTTCCTGTCTGCTCCACCTGGGGAGGCTGAACCATTTCAGTGGCTCAAGATGTTATATATTGCCACAATATAAGAAAATATCTTGAGACTTTGCAGAGAAGAGCAACGGAGATCACTGGAGCTTTTCAAGAAGAGACTGGACAGCCATTTGTCTGAAATAATATAGGGTCTCCTGCTTGAGCAGGGAGCCAGACTAGAAGATCTCCAAGGTCCCTTCCAATTCTGATGTTCTGTTAAAGCAGCTGCAAAATGGGTGTTGCAGGACCCAGTACAATTTAGGGATACAGGTTGACTTTCCCTGCCTTAAACCCAAATTCACTGTTCATCTGGAGGAGACTCAAAAATGCCCTTACCTTTTTGCAAAGGACCATCTGGTGATCAAAAAGGAAGAAGACCCGCTGCTGGCTTCGTCCGTAAGGCTGATAGATCCACGACATCTCTCCCGTGTAGATCAACTCAGAGCTGCGATCCAAAATGTCCTCTCCCTGAAATGAAAGGAGAACTAATCACCCCACAGCGGATATGACTGTCCCCATTCGATTTTGATTTTCTTTTTGTAGAAAGTAAGAAATCAGATTGGCTGAAAACCTAACACCAGAGCAAAGAGATTTGAAGGTCCCTACGTTTAGGTTAGCTTTATTCAGAACTGGCCTCTCTCTCTTAGCTACGTACACAACGTTTTCTATAATAGATTAGAAAATTAAAGAGACTCAGCAATTAAGCTCAATTCTTGATGATGGCATCCATGCAATTGACTCATTTTATTTTGTTACCTGTATGATGCTCTAATCATAGCTGACTTTATGTAGCATTAAATACTATAAATTGAGGTTTATTCTTCATTCAATTTCTCACTACTAACAGGCCTAGAATTCCCATGTGTTTCCCCCACCCAAATCCTAACCAGGTTTGGCTTATGAGATCAGCCAAGGTTAGCAAGGTGCCGCTGCTTGCTAAGCATATTTTCACCTCTACAAAGGCTTTCTCGTTTGAGATTCTGAACTGAGGAATTGTTCTCCTCTGTAAAGATGTAACTATATCTGTGAACATATCACTTCGTGGTTTTCTTTTACTCACCCCTACTTTTCTTCCTATCTTACATTTCCTTCCCCTAAAAGAAGCCATGTAAATACTAGCTGTCTTCTTTCTCAAGTTTTGCTATCCATAATCACAAATCTGCAAGTGTTGTAGCTTCTGGGTCTTTTTCCAGAGTTATTTTGCAATGCAGCAACATTCTGAGTGTATCCTGCAAATAAGCCTTTGCAGCCCCTATTTGTCCAATACAGGTAGTCCTCGAGTTACAACAGTTCATTTAGGGACTGTTTAAAGTTACAAAAGCACTGAAAAAAGTGACTTATTTATTTTTATTTATTTTTTATTTATTTTTATATGCCGCCCTTCTCCGGAGACTCAGGGCGGCTTACAGTGCGTTAAGCAATAGCCTTCATACTTTTGTATATTTTATACAAAGTCAGCTTATTGCCCCCACAAACCGGGTCCTCATTTTACCTACCTTAGAAAGGATGGAAGGCTGAGTCAACCCTGAGCCTGGCGAGATTCGAACCCTGCAGTAATTGCAGGCAGCTGGATGTTAAATGCTGCCTTAGTAGGAGGCATTAGCCTCCTATGCCACACAGGCTCCTTATGACTTATGACCTTTTTCACACTTACAACTGTTGCAGTGTCCTCATGGTCACATGATCAAAATTGAGATGCTTGGCAACTGGTTCATATTTATGATGGTTGCTGTGTACCGGGCCACGTAATCTCCTTTTGTGACTTTATGACAAGCAAAGTCAATTGGGAAGCCAGATTCACTTAACAACCGAGTTACTAATGGTAGTTAGTACCATTACTACTACTTCAGTGGTTCACTTAACAAATGTGATAAGAAAGGTCATAAAATGGAACAAAATTCACTTAACAAATGTCTTGCTTATCAACAGAAATGTTGGGTTCAATTGGGGTCATAAATCAAGGACTACCTGTAATGCACATCAAAACTTCCTCATTTGCCCTGGTACCATTCAGAAGACCTTGCATAGCATCTTGAGATCTTTGGAAAAAGATGCCGTCTGCATTTTCATATTGAAGTGAGAATGGGGGTGGATGTTAAAGATTGCAGCAGGCTCCGTTTCTATGGGAGATTCTTGATTCTGAACCTCTAAATAGTCTGTAATTTTTCTACAATCTTCCATCAATAAGCTACGTTTTCATTTTTCCATTTTCACTCTATGAAAAAGTTCCCTTGAAAAGTTCACAGCAGAATTTGGTTTAAGAATTTTAAGCTGTAATTTTTACAAAAAAAAAACAACAACCCACTTCTAGTTTCAAAAGAGAGGCTCTTCCAGGGAGCAGGGGTCTAATGCATTCATGGGTCACTGAGGTTGTGTTGCTGTTGAAAATAAATGGAAAAAAGTGCTAAAAATTGAATATTGGCTGTGATGCTCTAGGAACAATAAGCAACAAAGAAAGCTTTAGGTTATAAAAATTCCCCTTAAATACGTCTACTGGATTAAGAGCAATCAGCATTTGGTAAAAGCCATTGTAGTATAATGCATGTCATGAGAAATTATGTCATATTGTATTATTTCTGCAATGACACAATGCACATGATGTCACCTGCCTCCCACAGATGACCATAATTATAGACTTTATAAGAGGAATGTAACAACATATTCATACATACTGCACATGCATGCATGCATACATATACAGGTAGTCCTCGACTTATGACCACAGCTGAACCCAACATTTCTGTTGTGAGACATTTGTTAAGTGTGTTTTGTCCCATATTATGACATTTCTTGCTACGGTTGTTAAGTGAATCATTGCAGGTGTTAGTAACACAGTTACTGAGTCTAAAATGTATGTTGTTAAGTGAGAAATTTGTTAAGTGAGTTTTGCCCCATTTTACGACTTTTCTTGCCACATTTGTTAAGCGAATCACTGCAGTTGTTAAATTAGTAATCCAGTTGTTAAGTGAATCGGGCTATCCCATTGACTTTGTTTGTCAAAAAGTGGCAAAAGGTGACATGACCTTAGGACACAGCAATGGTCATAAATATGTACCAGTTGCCAAGCATCTGAATTTTGATCACATGATCATAGAGATGCTGAAAAGGTCATAACTGTGAAAATGTGAATAAGTCACATTTTTCAGTGCCGTTGTAAGTTTAAACAGTCACTAAATGAACTGTTGAAAGATGAGGACTATCTGTATACATACATACATACATACATACACTGTATATATACTATGTGTGTGTTTGTATAGAGAGAGAGAAAGACAGAGACAGAGAGTACAGTGAACTATGTAACTTTTAAGGTATGCTGTCAAGCTTACACACACACAAACACTTCTAGTATTTGATTACAAATAAATACACTGCCAACTGATGTATAAAATCCCTTTTCACTACTATGGTGGTCCGTGTCTTTCTCCATGTCAAGATCTCTACCAGAAGTTTGTGGGTTCAGTGCAGGATCTTCGCTGTTCCTAGCACTGAACTCTTCTGGACAGAGAGTTCTGATGTTGTTCCTGGGATCTGTTGGAGCCCTTCTTCCAGTTTAGGAGCCACAGCCCCGAGTGCTCCACCTACTGCTTTGACCTTTACTTTCCATATCACCTCCAAGTTCTTCCTGCATGCCCTGGTACTTTTCCAGTTTCTCATACTTCTTCTTCCTGATGTTGCTGCCACTTGGCACTGCTATCACCACCGCTGACTTCGGGTCTTTGTCTAGTACCATGATGTTCTTTGTGATTGACAGTACCTGCCTGTCCATTTAGATCTGGAAATCCTACAGGATCATAGCCCCCTTATTCTTCACCACCTTCTGTGGGGTCTCCCATCCAGATCCAGAGAGAGTCTAGCCCATACATTGTGTAGATATTCCCATCCACAATACTAGCTACTAGATTGTGCTGTCCAATGTATGCCTGCATCTTACATCTGCCACTATGCGTTGGACTGTCTCTTTGCAAAGTATGCCCCTCAGGTCCCATCTAGTACAGTAGATCCCTGTTTCAACACACAGTCACACACAGACACACACGCACACACTGTAAATAGGTACCATGTGTATGATACTCACAGAAACATTCCCCAAATGAAGCAGGTACAAGACACTGATGTCATTATCATGCAAATAATGACATCTGCATTCACTGTAATGAATTTTTACATCAGACATTTCCTTTACCCAAAACATGCAGAATGATTGGATTGATGCCATTTACTAAACTAGGTTAAAATTGGTTTGTGTCGCAGTGTTTGGGGCAGGGGGACTGTACTTATTGTTTTAAATTGTTTAAATCAAGCCACCATAATAAGCTATAATAATATTTATCTGTTTGGGGTATACCCTATTATATGAATATAGCAATTATGCATGCATAATCCCAATTTAGGATTTAGCAACCCATAGGAACTCAGCCATCAATGAAACCAAACCTGTTTATAGCAATAGCACTTAGATTTATATACCGCTTCATAGTGTTTTACAGTCCTCTCTAAGTTGTTTACAGAGACAGCATTTCCTAGGACCTCAGAAGGATGGAAGGCTAAGGTCAGAATTGAATTGCTGACAGCAATACTATATTCTAACACAGCACCACTATTGGACTCCTTTTATGGTCCAATTATGGTCGTTGTCCAGATGTAACCTGACTACCACATTGTCTAACCTTGACCCTATTTATGACCCTGAGGACACTAGGGGGGAAAGTAACAGAGTTGCTATTAGTCAGACAGGCAGCATTTAAATTTAATAAAGAAAAATAAAATCACCTAGTGAACCGATGTCTAATAAGGATCATTCAAGCCATGGACCTGACTCTAACATATTTATCAAATTTAGAAAGCATCTAAAGATCATCTTCTGCTTTATGAGTGGCCATAGACATAGTTAAATCTTCAGAGAGTGGAATAAGGGAGCCTTCATAAGGCAAATTATGTTGCTGACACAACTGTATCAAAATGATCTGTCCAAGGTGCTGAAAAGCTCTGTCATAACTCTGTAGTCTCTTATAATTGGATCTCACTTTGTCTTTTAGTTCCATCATATCCTTTCAGCTGACTTAATATAGGAACCAAATTCACACCAGAGGTGATTTATTTGACTTTCAAGACAGTTTTAATTCACAATTGTGTGAATTAAAGGCAGCTCTGCTGAGCCCCTAAAAGAAGGAGACAATCCGGTCGTCACTGCTTGTTTTTCAGTATCTTTTAAATAAGGACTCTTATGCAGTGTTTCAGAAGCTAGAGATAACCAGAGTTCATTTAAGGACAAACAGAAGGCAGAAGAACCTGGATTGTCCATTTATTTAAGAGACTTAGAGAACTGCTCATCTTATGTGCCATAACTCTGGGCAGCTCACAGCAGCAGTGATAAGAACATTAAAAAACAAAACTAATACAAAACAACATTCCTAAATAAATAAAAACAAAAAACCAATTCTTAGGCTCTAAATTAACACTCCCCA